CACACACAAGTCACGCAAACACACACAAGCACAAGTTGCACTCATAAACACACACACACACAAGTCTCACACACAAATACACAAGTCACACACAAACACACACACACAGACACAAGTCACACACAAACACAAGTCACACACACAAACACACACAAACAGACGCAATACACAGTGCAGGAGGTCCTCACATACACACACACAAGAACAAGTCATGCACACATACACACACAAGCACAAGTCACACACATAAAACAGAGTGTCCTCGTCAGGGCTGTCGACATTTACCACTGCCCCCCCCCCCCCAAAAAAAAATCAAACAAACAAACAAACAAACAAACAAACAAACAAAAAACTAACAAAACAATGAGCTACTGTGGGGTTGTAGGGATCTGGTTCTTGGTGCTGTGTTGTTGTGTTGTTACCTGTAAACTGAAGTAGCCCTCGCCGTAGTGCTGGTCCTGGGTCAGCCACGTCACGATGGGGTTACAGTACTGAAATCTGCCCTGGATTTAAAAAACAGATCAGACTATCACCCCAGGTCCAGATCAGACTACTACCCTCAAATCAGACTACCAACCCAAATCAGACTACCACCCTCAAATCAGACTACCACCACAAATCAGTCTACCACCTCAGAGCAGATCAGACTACCACCCAGGCCCAGATCAGACTACTACCCTCAAATCAGACTACCAACCCAAATCAGACTACCACCCTCAAATCAGACTACCACCACAAATCAGTCTACCACCACAAATCAGTTCAGACTACCACCCAGGCCTAAAGTCAGACTTCCAACCCAAATCAGATCAGACTACCACCCCAGACTCAGAATCAGACTACCACCCCCAGATCAGACTACCACCCTAAATCAGACTACCACCTCAGATCAGACAACTTCCCCGGGCCCAAAATCAGACTACCACCCCAGATCAGACTACCTCCCCAGATCAGACTACCACCCTAAATCAGATCAGACTACCACCCCTTTACCTTGCGCAAGAAGCTGAGCAGGGCGTAGGCTGTGGTCTCCACTGTCTGGGCGCTGCTCTCGTCCGGTTTGAGCCACTCCGTCTGCACATTCCGCTCCTGCCAGTACCTCAGCTCGGGGGGGTTTCCTGAAGGTGAAACAGAATAAAGCACCCGCTCATCACTGCTGCAAGAAATACTAAGTAGTTTCCACAGACATGAGCTGTACTCGGACATTTGTGATCCTAGAGGAAAATGTCCCAAAGTGAAGAGGCTCAGCAGAGGTCCTCACAGCGTTTGGTCCTCGCAGCGTTTGGTCCTCACAGCGTTTGGCCCTCACAGCGTTTGGTCCTCACAGCGTTTGGTCCTCACAGCGTTTGGTCCTCACAGCGTTTGGTCCTCGCAGTGTTTGATCCTCGCAGTGTTCAGTCCTCACGACGTTTGGTCCTCATAGCGTTTGGACCTCACAGCCTTTTTTCCTTACGGCGTTTGGTCCTCACAGTTTGGTACTCAGCGTTTACTCCTCAAGGCGTTTGATCCTCATGGCGTTTGGTCCTCACGGCGTTTGATCCTCACAGCATTTGGTCCTCACGGCGTTTAGTCCTCACAGTGTTTGGTCCTCATGGCATTTGGTCCTCACAGCATTTGGTCCTCAAAGCATTCGGTCCTCATGGCATTTGGTCCTCATTGCGTTTGGGATGTGAGCAGCTTGAACCACAGTTTGACAATATAAGAGCTAAGCAGGAGTGGTCCTAGGAAAACTCAGTTGAAGACAAGTCCTTGATCGGTGCATAAAGGACACACACAGAAACTTACAGCGAACACAACTGGTTCTGTCTGAAAGTGTCTGAGGGCCAGGACCAGACTCATTGGCCTTTCCATCTGTATATAAAATCTAGCCCATAGTTCGGTCGCTGTGGAAATACTAGGGGCCTTTTTCTGGACTGAGTGACGTTCATAACCTGTAGATGAGATCTTGTCAACGAGGAGACCCATGTCCTCGTCAGGACTCACCCTTCTGGCGGGCGAGCGTCTCCAGGCGGGTGAGCAGGTCGTTGGTGGTGAGGCTGTCGGCGTCGTGCAGCGTGAGGGCGTACGCCGCCACAGACAGAACGTAGACCTTCTGCACCGCCGCCATGTTCTTGTGGACAAACTTCATGGCTGACTGGATACTGTCCTCCTGGTTCTGCAACAGGGACAGAGAAGGTCAAGGTCTGGTTTAGTCCTGGGATAGACCAGACTGTAAATACTGCACAGTGTTTGCCAGAGCCAATCAGAGGCAAGGTTGTTCAGTCAAACCTATTGCCAACTTTACCTAGAGCAAACGTCAGCAAAAGAAAGTACCTGATTGGTCTGTTATTACTGTCAAGTCAAAAAGCCCAGCCCCTGTACTCTAAGTCTTCACCTCCACTCCTGAGCCCATTCTCCTCTCCGCTCGTCTTTTATGAGTTTATCAGTTTATTTTTAGTGTGGCCAGTAGGTGGCAGCAGAAAATCCAGGTGAGCAGGTGAGTCTCTGAACTCATCGAATGAAGCCCAGGTGAACAGACACAAACCAAACCAGGAATGTGAAGAGAAACAGAGACACCGGTGAAGAAATTTACCTGTAAAATTTGTTTTTAAGTTTAGTTAAAACAGTAAAATAGTACAGGACTAAAACCCATATAAAAGTAATCTGTCTTAAATTAAACATTATTCATTCATTTTACATATAAATTAAGTAAGTACAATGAAAAGCCTTAGTTAGATTTAAATGCAGTTGGATTTATTTTATGAAATTCCCCAATTTAAGTTGAAAAATAGATTAATAAATAAATTCAATTCAATAAATTCTTAAAATGTTAAATAAAGCTAAATTGAATAATTAAATCATTTGATTGATAATTGGCATTTGATTGTTTAAATATAATCTGATTTATGGTAAATGGAGTAAAATGTACTGACTAAGTTAAAGTAGCACTAATAAAAAAAAAAAAACTAAATATATATATATAATTTAGCAATTAAAAACAATTTATTTATTCATAAAAATATGGCTTAAAATTATAATTATTTATTTCATATAACTAGTCATTTAAAAATGTAGAAAAATAAATTATATTTAAGATTAAAATGAATTGGTAACATTATACACTGGATAAAATTTTTTGCTAATTTAATTTCATGTTTAAAAGGTAAATTAATAAATATTATAATTGAAGTATATTAATAAAACTAGAAATAGATTAAATGATTTAATACTAACTAATGTACTACTACTACTACTACTACTACTACTACTATTACTACGTACTACTACTACTACTGACTACTACTACTACTACTACTACTGCTACTACTACTACTACTACTACTACTACTGCTACTACTACTACTACTACTACTACTACTACTACTACTACTACTACTACTACTACTACTACTACTACTACTACTACTACTACTACTACTACTACTACTACTACTACTACTACTACTACTACTACTACTACTACTACTACTACTACTACTACTACTACTACTACTACTACTACTACTACTACTACTACTACTACTACTACTACTACTACTACTACTACTACTACTACTACTACTACTACTACTACTACTACTACTACTACTACTGCTGCTGCTGAAGGAACTGAACAATTTCAATAAAAATCTTTAAGCTGAGTCGACCTTGTGTCTGTTTTCCTGTTTTTTCAAGTTGGACCTGCATCGTTCCTTAATTAAAGTCTTGACAATTATTCCCAATATCTTCACTTAAAAAAGCAAAATAAAAAACACCAGGATTATGTGAAGTGGAACATTTCGAGACTGACCAGTATTTGGAAAGCTGAGGCTTGGTCCCGACACACACACACACACACGTTGATGACTTGACCGTGTGTGACTGGGGTTTACCTGGAGCTGCAGCGCGTCCTTCTGGATCCTGGTGGCTTTGTGGAGGGCGATGATCACAAACGACGTGAGGTAAACCGACTTTTCCACATTGTCCTGAGGCAGCGCCTAAAACACCACATTTGATCAGAGTTTCAGATGTTTAAAGAAGATGTATTGTGCTTGTGTCTGATGTTTGGTTATAATCTGTGACCTCTGAGGATCATTAGGTGATCATTTTGATGCAGTGTTCATCTAAAACGACAACGAAAAGAGACAAGTTCACTGGTTTCCATATTAGAAAACTGTGGTGTCTAATGGAGCTGACAACAAAGCACCGCATGGACCAAACCAGGACTAAACCAGGATTAGACCAGGACTAAACCAGGACTAGACCAGGATTAGACCAGGACTAAACCAGGACTAGACCAGGATTAGACCAGGACTAAACCAGGACTAGACCAGGACAATCTGTGTGTCATTCGTTCATTCGTTTTTCAATATAAAACCAAAAATAAGAAAACTAAAAAACAATTATTTCCTTCATTATTTGTCTCCAAAACTAAAATGAAAAAACAGATAATGATTTGTTTTTTTCAGTTTTTGATTTTGTGTTTAAATGAAAAATGGAAAAAACAGATAACGGACTGAACTAAGACTGAACCAGGACTTCAGTTCTGGTCTGGTCCCAGTCTCAGTTCCAGTCTCAGTCACGGTCTGGTCCTGGTCCCGGTCTGGTCCCGGTCTCAGTTCTGATCTCAGTCTCAGTCTAGTCCCGGTCTGATCCTGGCCTGGTCCTGGTCTGGTCTCGGTCTCAGTCCTGCTCTGGTCCCGGTCTGGTCTCAGTCTCGGCCTGGTCCCAGTGTGATCCGGGTCTGGTCTCAGTCCCAGTCTGGTGTCGGTCTGGTCCCGGTCTCAGTTCTGATCTCAGTCTCAGTCTAGTCCCGGTCTGATCCCGGCCTGGTCCTGGTCTGGTCTCGGTCTCAGTCCCGCTCTGGTCCCGGTCTGGTCCCGGTCTGGTCTCAGTCTCGGTCTGGTCCCAGTGTGATCCGGGTCTGGTCTCAGTCCCAGTCTGGTGTCGGTCTGGTCTCGGTCTCAGTCCCGCTCTGGTCACGCCCTGGTCCTGGACCTGGATCAGTCCTGGTTCAGTTCGTATGCGGTGCAAAAATCCAGCATCACAGTCACGGACGTCACGTTTTTTCCGTTCTTCATTTAAACAAAAAAAAAGAAAAATGTAATCGTTATCCATTTTTTAAATTTTGGTTTTCGAGACAAATAACGAAGAAAACTGTTGTTTTTTCGTTTTCTTATTTTTGTTTTTATATTGAAAACCGAATGAACGACTGACACACAGATTCAGACAGACGCTTCAGTTTGACGTCATGACTTCACAGCTCACAGATGATTGGTCGGTGCGTCGTCTACAACTTCCAAGTTTTTACAAATCGTCAAGTGTTTTCTGATTCCTGATCTAGTCTCTGGAGAGAAATGAAATTGAGCAGAGGCACTAGGTGGCGCTAGTCAGGGTAACAAAGGACTGGTTATCGATGCAGAGCTGGAAAGAGCTGTAATGGGCTCATTTTGTGAACAAACATGTCTCTTCTTTTACAGCGACACGTTTACTTTGGCGTCTTAGAAAATTTTTGTTGATCCACGACGAGAAACAGAAAGCAGCGAGAAACTCTCCTTTGTTCAGTGTCAACCACAGAACTAGAATAAAAATAATAATAATAAGAATGGTAAAAGTTTTTTCACACTTCAGAACTTTCTGTCATAAATAAACCAGAGAGAATAAAATATCAAAATTGAAATACGCCTGATGTTTTTTGATTGGTGTTACATGAAATAAAATTTAAATTAAATACTGGAAATAGAGGTCGAAATCTGCTTTTTGTTCGACACTAAAATGTAAAAATTAACTGTTTAATTGAAATTCAACAGAACGAACGGTACATAGACCCTGCGTGTGTCGCCCATTAAGAAAATCAAACTGGAGAAGGAAATGTGTACGTCACAGTGAGTGCGTAACAGGAGCTGAAAACGAGGTGAGATTGGGCAAAACAGCGTCTTGAAAATAAGCGACTAAAGATTCCTCAAACATGAATCACTCCAAACACTTCAGGAACATGTTCAAACGCTCTGAAAAGTCCCGGGGTTTCAGACGTGTGGTGAGTTTGCGTGCGGACCATGATCTTGTTGGGTTTGTAGAGCGACGTGTCCTGGAAGGAGCCGTCGGGTTTCTGGGCGTTGTGGATCAGCCAGTTCACCGTCTCCCCCAAACTCTGGAGATCCACAGGAACGATGTCATTCACCATCGCCAACGTCTGCACGAGCCAGCAGCAGGTCAGGAGCCAGGAGCATGCAGACAGGAGCACAGGAGCAGCAGAGAGCAGGCAGGCAGCAGCAGGCAGGAGCAGCAGCAGGAGCAGCAGCAGGAGCAGCATGAGCAGCAGAGCAGGAGCAGCAGACAGGAGCAGACAGGCAGCAGACAGCAGCAGCAGCAGCAGCAGAGGCAGGAGCAGCAGAGCAGCAGACAGGAGCAGACAGGAGACAGACAGGCAGCAGACAGGAGCAGGCAGGAGCAGACAGGAGCAGACAGGAGCAGACAGGAGCAGGATATATGGTACAGAGGAGGACAGTATGCAGTGTAAATGAGAGTGAAGACGGTGCAGAGGAGGTTGGGTGTGTACGGTGCTGTGCTGTTGAAAAGAATGTGAAACTAAAGCACCACGTTGTTTGTGTGAGTGATTAGTGCAGGAGTCGTCAAACTGAGGCCCGCGGGCCGACTCTGGCGCAGCACATGTCTCTGACTGACCCCCAGCCCCTCTGCCCCCCACTTTTACATGATTCAAAAGTAGTACATTGAAGTATTTGTAGTACAGAGTACTGTAGTACAGAGTACAGTAGTACAGAGTAGTAGTACAGTAAGTACAGAGTATTAGTACAGAGTAGTTGTAGTACAGTAGTACAGTAGTACAGAGTATTAGTAGTACAGAGTACAGTACAGTAGTAGTACAGAGTACTAGTAGTACAGAGTACAGTAGTAGTACAGTAGAGTACAGTAGTAGTACAGTAGTACAGTAGTAGTAGTAGTACAGAGTACAGAGTAGTAGTACAGAGTAGTAGTACAGAGTACTGTAGTACAGTAGTACAGTAGTACAGAGTACTGTAGTACAGAGTACAGTAGTAGTAGTACAGTAGTAGTACAGAGTAGTAGTACAGTAGAGTACAGTAGTAGTACAGTAGTACAGTGTAGTACAGAGTAGTAGTAGTAGTAGTACAGAGTACTGTAGTACAGAGTACAGTAGTAGTACAGAGTAGTAGTAGTACAGAGTACTGTAGTACAGAGTACTGTAGTACAGAGTACAGTAGTAGTACAGTAGTAGTAGTGTAGTACAGAGTACAGTAGTAGTAGTACAGTAGTAGTGTAGTACAGAGTACAGTAGTAGTAGTACAGAGTACTGTAGTACAGAGTAGTAGTAGTAGTAGTACAGAGTACTGTAGTAGTACAGTAGTACAGAGTACAGTAGTACAGTAGTAGTAGTACAGTAGTACAGTAGTACAGTAGTACAGAGTACTGTAGTACAGAGTAGTACAGTAGTACAGAGTACTGTAGTACAGAGTACTACAGAGTAGTAGTACAGAGTAGTGTAGTACAGAGTACTGTAGTGCAGAGTACTGTAGTACAGTAGTAGTAGTAGTAGTACAGAGTACAGTAGTAGTACAGTAGTAGTACTGTAGTACAGAGTAGTAGTGTAGTACAGTAGTAGTAGTAGTACAGAGTACTGTAGTACAGTAGTACAGTAGTACAGTAGTACAGTAGTACAGTAGCATAGTACAGTAGTACAGAGTACAGTAGTACAGAGTATTGTAGTACAGAGTACTGTAGTACAGTAGTACAGAGTACTGTAGAATGGCTCATGTTAAAGTAGGAAAAGTTGACAGATCCAAGTTTTCAAAGAACAATGAAAGACTGATTATTTTTAGTTTGATTGTTTTTTGTTGTGGAGGTTTTCAAGGATTTATGGATCTAGACTTTATGGTTGAATTTGACAGAGTGAAATGACTCGTGTGAGTCTGTGGGAGCTCAGGCTCAGAGGCTCTGGTCACAGACACTTATATCTGTAAATATGAACAAGTGGCCCAGATTTGGCGCAGGAGAGACAAGGTATGGTAAAAAAAATAAAATAATAAATAAAAATATGCAGTGGAGGAGGGGATGGTGCAGAGGAGGAGAACAAGGTGCAGAGGATTCTGGAGGTTCTGACCAGGTGCTGGACTCTTTGTTCTTAAACATGCTGTAACTGGAGTCTTTTTTTCTGTAGGAACTCACTCCAATCAAACCTGGAACAGCAGAGACACACGGTCAGTGTACGAACACCTCAAGAGTCTGGTCCTGGTCTGGTCCTGGTCTGGGTTGGGTCTGGGTTCTGTCTAGTTCTGGTCTGGTCCTGGTCTGGGTTTTAGTCTGATTCTGGGATTCAGGTTGAGGTTAGTTCAGTCGTAACTGTGTTTAAGCTTTGCTCTCAGGACGTGTTGGAGCATGTGGCAGGTGTGGCAGGTGCGTCAGGTGCAGCAGGGGCAGTACCCTGTCTGATGCGAGACTTGAGCTGCTCGGAGCTCTTCTGGTTTTCGGGGCCCAGGATGTGCCAGCGTCCGGTGGTCTCCAGGTAGTTGTAGACGTGGAGCACGGGCAGGACCGCGCCCAGCTCCGAGGCGGCCGACCCGTCCTGCAGAGACAGCAGCTTCTTCAGCCCGTCCGGGTTATCCACCACCGACACCCACTCGTCCAGGAGCTCACCTGTCACACGGGATCAGGGAATGTGACGTGAGTACATGGAATTATACAGCACAGACACTCAAGGCACTCAAAGGACTCACCCACTTTTACATGATGATTTTTAATTCTTAATTAAATAGTCCTGAATTAAAATATTCTCCTTGGAGTTTACATAGAAATGTCCAGTTCCACAGTTTTCTATAGATACGTCATGAATCTCAGACTTCTGGTCATTGTGCAATTCATACTGGGAAGGATTTTTTGAAAAAGTGAGCATCAAACCTCCATGTTTGTTTTCCCAGTGGGACGTGTCTATTGACAAAGTCGATCTTTTCAAGTCTTTTGAACCATATCACTTTTGTTTCTGGTTCTGATATTGTCATATTTTAGTTCTGAGATTCGGACATCGTAATTGTGTGGTTGTTGGATCCTAACAGCAGAAAACGGCTCAAGAAATGGGTTTTGGAAGTTTGTGAACTCCATAAATGCAAAAGTGAATCAGATGTGTGTGACTCAAACCTCTGTTCAAACTGTTTCTCTTCCCAACGGAATTGAAAAATAGTGAAAGGTGAAGGTGATGGGCAGGATTGATCCACAGGAAGAACCAAAAAGGAAACATTTGTCTGACTAAGAAATCATCCTGAGTTTACAGAGAACATTTTGTATGTGGAGCGACGACAAAACAAAATCCCGTTTGTTAATGTAGAGGAGCAGAAGACAAACAGACTGAGCTGCACTTTCTTGTTCTTGTGGTTTTACAGAAACATCACGTCTTGGTCTCTTTGCAGTGGAAGGTGTTTCTTGGTGAACAGTTGGAGCCTTTCACTTTGGTGTTGACTTTTTAAATTCATCCTCATACAAAATATTCTCAGCAAACTCAGGATGATTTAGTCGGTCAAATTTTTGGTTCTTCCTGTGGATCAATCCTGCCCATCACCTTCACCTTTCACTATTTTTCAATTCCGTTGGGAAGAGAAACAGTTTGAACGGAGGTTTGAGTCACACACATCTGATTCACTTTTGCATTTATGGAGTTCACAAACTTCTGAAGCCCATTTCTCGTGTTGTTTTCCGCTGTTTGGATCCAACAACCACACAATTACGATGTCCGAATCCCAGAACTAAAATATGACAATATCAGAACCAGAAACAAAAGTGATATGGTTCAAAAGACTTGAAAAGATCGACTTTGTCACACAGACACATGCCACTGGGAAAACAAACATGGAGGTTTGATGATCTCTTTTTTGGAAAATCCTTCCCAGTATGAATTGCACAATGACCGAAAGTCTGAAATTCGTGATGTGTGTAGTGAAGTGTAGTGAAGTCAGTGCACTTGCTTCTTGAGTCATTTTAGATCAATATGTGTTCGTATGTTCGTATTATATTTGCATCATGATTTAAACTGAGGTGTTGATGTTGCGTGTACCGTGGACGGAGAGGACCCTCTGGACCTCAGTGTTGGGGACGATGTTCTGAGGCACAGCGGTCTTCAGCTCCACCTTCATCTTCGCCGCACCTGAGGAACAAAACAGCTCACAGTGAGTCATGTCTGTAATGCACAAAACACCAGGTGAGTTAAAGAGATTTTTTTGGGGTCGTTTTGTCTTCGACCTGTATCCTGGATCAGCATCGTCAGAATCTCCTGTCCTCAGTAGGGCCAGTGTTTCTGTGCTTATTCCTTTCACTTCTACATATTTGTGTGAATTTGGATTTTCTGTGCTCACAAAAATGACGACAAAGCACAGAAACAGAAACAGACTGAAGCTGCTCCTGCACCCGGACAGAACACGACACAAAACACACACACAGGCCAAACTATCCAACTAGAAATGTTGAAATGTTAAGGCATGTTTTGTATAAGTTCTAATCTTTTTGTAATTATTTTATTGTCTATTTTATTCCAATATTTCTGGTCAAATGAATGTTGAAAAGAAAAAGAAGTAGTCTGTATTTAAAGTCCAAATACTTCTGGATCCTTTTATTGCTGCTTCAGTGTTTCCTTGTTTAAAACTTGAGTAATATTAATTGTTCAGAGACACGATCAGTCAGTCAACAATAAAATAGCCTCATTGATGTTCAGTAATGGTCAAATAAAATTTTTTTTTTTTGTGATTTACGAATAATGTGTGTTGACTTGGATCACGAAGGTTTGTGACTTTTAAAATATGGGTTTTCGCTGAGTCCGTCTTTACCGTAAAGTCCACGTGGATCCAAGCGTCCTCCCACCATCTCCTCCTTCAGCACCCCCTCAGGCTGAAACACGACACAACACATGGACAAAACAACACTCAGTGAAAAGGAAAGGACCCTCCTACGAGCATTTGACCCATTTCAGACGAATTAAATATGTGAGAGGAGAGAGAAGGAAAGCGAGGAGAGAGAGACGGAGTGGGGAGTCTCTCTCTCTCTTCTAAAAATGCCACGTTTACATGAGAGCTGTAATGCCAAATAAAAATAATTTAATCCTGAATAGAAATTAAATGTAGTTGATATGATTAAGTGAGATTCAGGAGCAGGACCAGGCCTCAGCCGCCCTCTCCACTCACCCGCGAACCACAACTCACCTCGACCACGCCTCGATTTTCCCAGAAGCCTGTATGTAGCAGCCTTTCCCATCATCCCTGTTTGTCTCGTACATTATCAATAAACTTCGCACATTATCAATAAAATTCTTCACACTATGTCGTTGTTGTTGTGGTCCTAGCCAGTGAATTCCGCTTTAAAAAAAAACATGTAAACACTTAACTCTTAATGACAATAATTATTCAGAATTAAACTTAAATCTGAAGTAAGTGTTTGGTTTATTCCGATTTTGAAGCCGGATTAATTTCTTCCTGGATCATGTTTCTCGTTTATTCTTGTTAAAAATAATCCCGGTTGTTCAGCACATGCTCGTTGTGTCGTCCTTCTGATGTGATCTTGGACGATCCAGCTCCGCCAGTCCTGGTTTCCGAATTTCATCCACGCCTCTTAGGATTTGTGAGCGGGATGCGGGAGTGGGCAAAGGTAGAGCAGCCACTGACTCTGGCCTCGTTCACACTAGTGTGCACCGTATTTTCCGGGCTATTAGTCGCTGTGGATTATAAAATGCACTGTCATTAAATGGTCTATTTTCAAACTTTTTTCACAAATAAACGGCGTGGGACTTTAAAGGAAACCCAACAGTGTGATGGGTGAGTGGTTTTGTTTGTTTGTTCGTTCACGGTGACTCTGGGCTTTGTTCAGTTGTGGCGTGTAGGGAGGGTGTGTCTGGGACCAACGGATTGTCGGCGTGTTCACAGTGACTCAGTTGTTCAGTCGTGTCTAGAAGTGGCACATTGCGCTGGCTTTTTCGGTTCGTTCCTCCGTTCCGTTCCTCGTCGGCGTGGAGTGATGAGTGTGTCTGTGGGTGTGTTTCTCTGTGCGGTCGCTGTCTGCTCCGTGTGTGTTTGCGTGCTCTGTGGGTGGTGCGGCTTTGTAGTTTACTGAAGTCGTGCTGGGACACCCGAGTGGATTTGTGTATAGGGCGCTCCAGATTGTGGGGCACAGTCGTTTTTTGATGGGGTTAGATCACAGGTGTCAAACATACGGCCCGGGAGCCAGATTCGGCCCTCCAGGACCTTTAATCTGGCCCTTGGCTGATTTTCTACTAAAATATTTGAATGATATTTTCTATTAAAATCTTGTTAATTTTCTGTGGTGTTTATCACAGCAGCGTCTCCAGAGTCTCTGTACGTGGCCCCTCCCACCAGAGCAGCACAAATGAAGACTTGTCTCTTTCCAAACGCTCTTAAAGGACGATCGTTTTGACTGTTGACCGTGACACCCTCATCACAAAAATGTCCAACATGAGAAAAGTGGAGCGGTCAGGATTTTACAACAAAAATGGACTTATTCCTGTTTACAAACAAGTTGAAATTGTATTTTTCTTAAAGTTTCAGGTTGTTCATAATATTATAATATTTTGTAAAAGAAAGCGTTCATCAATTAAAAAAAGGTTTCTGTAATAGTTTTGCGTTTCTCTACATAAATATTTGAACTTATTGTTATTTTTGGGGTTTATATGACATGAGTTTTCTGATCCGGCCCCTTTAGGATCAAAGTCGGTTGGATTCGGCCCTCGGACCAAAATGAGTTTGACACCCCTGGGTTAGAGGCTTAAGAGCGCGTCTAATAGCCCGGAAAATACTGTATTCTTAAACTGGACTATTTAATTCAGAACAAATCATTTGGAATTAAAAAACAACTTGTAAATGTGGCCAGTGTCGCCCAGCCCCAACATTCATTCACACATCCACACATTTACACATTTCCGTTGTACTCACCACCACAGTGAGAGTTTTGACCAGCGTGTCCCGGGGCATGAGTCTCCGGCGGCCCTCGATGGGCCCCTCGCGCAGGGTGAACGTGAGCTTGTGAGAGCCCGGCTCCAGGGCCATCAGCGTGAAGCTCACCTCCCCCACGCTGCCGCCGTAGAGCTTCTTCTCCACGCACGAGGACGAGCGATGCCCCAAATCCCCCGCCACTGCCTCCGACTCCGCCAGACACAACTCGGGCCCCACGGTCAAAGTCACACAGTACTGAGACAGAGAACGAGACAGAGACAGAGAGAGAAAGGGGGTTATTTAGAAGAAGAAGAAAAGTTTGTCATATTTGTCTACAGTAGAACTTTTTCACAACGTCCGGAAGTGCTGCAATATCGGGTAAACTTCACTTCTCATTAATGTTTTTCTATGGCAAAATGTGTGTGTAAATGTGTGTGTAAGTGTGTGTGTAAATGTGTGTTGTGCGTGTGTGTGTGTGTGTAAGTGTAAGTGTGTGTGTGTGTAAATGTGTGTAAGTGTGTGTGTAAATGTGTGTGTGTGCGTGTGTGTGTGTGTGTGTGTAAGTGTGTGTGTAAATGTGTGTGTAAGTGTGTGTGTAAATGTGCGTGTAAATGTGTGTAAATGTGTAAGTGTGTGTGTAAATGGTGATAGGGCATTTACACACACATTTACACACACATTTACACACACATTTACACACACATTTACACACACACACACTTACACTTACACACACACACACACGCACACACACACATTTACACACACACTTACAACACATTTACACACACATTTACACATTTACACACATTTACACATTTACACACATTTACACACACATTTACAAATACATTTACACACACACTTACACACAGAAAAACATTAACTGGAAGATGTAAGATGAACAGTTTGGGAGACAGTGGGCATCCCTGTTGAACTCCTTTTCCATCATTTGCAGTATTAGTATTTTCAATAATAAATGAAAATTATGTGCATGTGTAGAAGTACTAATAGCATTAGTAGCAGTAGCAGTACTAGTAGTATAGTAGTAGTAGTAGTAGTAGTAGTAGTACCTTGATGGGGTCGCTGAGGTGGTTGTACACTGAGCCTTTGAGCTGCACTTGTTCTCCTCTCACGATCTGGTACGGCAGGGGCACGTCCACCGACAGGGGCAGGTTCACGGACACCTCCGCCGTTTTGGCCACACAAATACCTGACAGAGTACACAAATACTGCAGTGCTTTTCAAGTACCGCTCACAGTAAAGTACTTTCAAATAAGGACTCACCGTTGTCGAACATCCCCACGGCTTTGATCTGCCAAGTCGTCAGCGAGTCCGGAAGCTTCTCCGACAGAGACAGAGAGCCCGGGCTGCAGAGAGGACAGACGTCCATCAGGTCTGAACAAGGACTTTACGTGAGTCTGTGCATTCCTCTTCACACATTCACCTCAGGACTTTTTTTTTTTTTTTTTTTTTTAATTGGATCATTTGCAGCAAACAAAAACAAAACATAAACCACGACTACATGGGTCATAACAGGAAGAGTCCGAACTGAAACAAAAGGTACCAAACACATGAACAACAAGTTTGTTACAAGTTACAACTCCACTCACTGGACATATAAAAGACAAAATATCAATTAAAACAAACAAAACTCAACGCACAATTCATGAACTCCAGAGCTCCATATTTTCCAAAACACGACACTCTATACTCTTTTTAAAGGTTTTCTACAGTGTTGGACTGTTTAAAGTCATTGGTCCGATTATTTTACAAACCAAAATCTCTGCCAGAAACACAATCACTTTCTTCCTCGTTCTTATCTTTTTTTTTTTTTTTTCCCCTCCTGTTTATGGTCGTACAAACTAATAATAATAAAGGTGAAAAAGTTTATTGTTTATGATCGTGTGAAATAAACTACAATGAGAAATACATTTTTTTTTTTAAAAAGTAAGGACATTTTGTTTTCGTTTATGGTCGTGCAAACTAATACTAACATTAACGAAGGCACAAAGGTTTATCATTTATCATTGTACAAAATTTAAGTTAATGTTAAAGAAAATATTAAAGAAGAGCATGTGTTTAGTAGTTAATAGTTTTTTTTTTTTTTTTTTTTTTAATACCCCCATCTCACTAATCCCACCATCAAAACTTGAAACTTCACCTCAGGACTTCTGACTAAAAATGATGTCTACAATTGGAAAATATAATTTGTAAACCACATCTTGATTTCCACTGAGGCATTTAGGAGCTGGAGTGGCTTCTGCTGGCATCATGGGAAGGAACTACTATAACTCCAGGCATGTTTTGGACGAGAGAACAACAGTATAACTTGGTTAAAAGCTCATCACCCCAGGACTGAAGTCTGTGCACTGGCTCCTGTGAGCGTCAGGAGAGATTTTAAGTTCTTTTATTGGTTTATAAACCTTTAAACAGTCTTAGTCCTATTTATTTTTCTGATCTGCTTTGATCACATGAGCCTCTCGGACTCTCAGGTCCTCAGGTCTCGTCTTTTACCTGTCCCAAGAGTCCAAACTAAAACTCACGCTGAGGCGACATTCAGTTTTTATGGGTCGACCTGAGGTCCACTGCCAGTGTTCGTATCTTTAAATATGGGCGGAGCTTCATACAGAGTGTTACAGTGAACCATAAGAAGTGTTTAAATAGGGCCGAGGATAGATCGCTAAATTACTCAAGCATGAATGGACATCTAAAACCTCATAATACTTGTATAATACTCCCTTTTCAACAAAAACAGGAGACTCATTTAGCCACAGGACTGAAACAAACCAGGACTAAAGAGAAGCCAGAAACCAAAGCAGGACAAAAAGGTCTGAGGTGGGACTGGACCAGGACTCACGTGATGGCGCGGACCTGCCACAGCCAACTCTCTGGGAACGAGCTCCGCACCAGAGTCGGGACGTTTCCAAAGTCTCCTCCCATTTCTGTCAAAAACAAACCAAACCAAACATTTTAAGAGCAACTTTTAAATAAGATCACTTCTCAGAGTACAACACTTTTAAAACTACATGAGTAAATTCATAACAGTGTAACAGAACTTATACTTGAGTAAAAGTTGTGCGTCCTCTTCCCACTGTGAGTGTAAAGTGACAAAAACTTCATGTGACAATCTGAAATGATTTGAACATTTGTGTTCTTGAACGGCTCCTTCAGATCTGATTTCTAGGGGAGTAACAATTTTGACAATGTCACGATATCGTCTCGTCACGGTTTTAAACTGTGAGTCTTTAGGCAAAAATAAGAGTTTTCAGTCACTCCCGTGGTGCACAGTAAACTACATGGACCATAATCCTTTGCGGCTGCATCATCGGCCTGTGCCCCCGATGTGGACGCATCAGTGCATCAGTCTGAAGTCTAGAAGCATTTTGGGTTTGTCGTGATATGAAATGAGAAAAAGTAGCGGCTTATAGTCTGGAAATGACAGTTTTATTTGGAAGTAACAGAACTCTTATGCTGCGTTCAGACTGCAGCCTGAAGTGACCCAAATCCGATTTTTTGGCCCCTATGTTCCTGTATCCGATCTTTTGATGTCAGTCTGAACCACACAGATCCGATTTTTTTCGAATGTGACCCAGGACACTGGGATATGTGCTCCTGAAACTGATACATATCTGATCTTTTGACATGTGACTTCAGTCTGAATGGCCAAAGCTTATTCATTTGACCTATACGTTATCAACAAGACACAAACGTCATTATTCTGCGCTGAAGTAGGTGAAAATTGTTAATGAACTTTGTGTGACTGAAGTGAAGCACATCACCACTCACCACAAAACACCACAACCAAAAACCTCGTCCTTCTCCTTCTCAATCTCCTCCTTAAAACAAGTCAGTTGTTCATGTTCTGGCTCCGGTACGAGAGGAACTTTAAAATCTCCAGGTGCTCGATGCTGCGTCCATGTTTGGACAACTTCTGTAAACACAGAGACGCTCGCTGCGGTTGACGTCGTCGTGTCTCCAGTGCACATGCGGGACACTTTTGGGCCGTTTAATGTTCACACGGGATCGAATACAAGTCGCATTTAATTGGAAATGTGAACGACCTCGAAAAAACATCAGATTTCACAAAAAAATCGGAATTGAGCGTTAAACCCTGCAGTCTGAACGTAGCCTCTGTAACCACTGTAACCCTGCGTTTGATTTTCTTCCGACTCCCACTTGGACCTCAGATTTGACGTCATGTCTGAGCTTGAAGTGTATTATTATATTTCGCTTGTCGGACTCGGAGAGTAGCGTGTAGCCTCACCACAACACCGACCATTGGGGAATTTGGGGGTGAAACTGGATAGCAGTCTAAAATTTGATAAACAAATAGATTCTGTGGTCAGAGCTTCTTTCAGCTCCGCCTCCTGGCAAAAGTTAAGCCCTTCTTGAGCCGCGGTGACCTGGAGAAAGCCGTCCGTGCCTTTGTTAGTTCCCGCATAGACACTGTAATGCTGCACTCTATGTGGGGATTCATCAAGCTGCTCTTCACCGTCTGCAGCTCGTGCAAAATGCTGCAGCTCACCTGCTCACTAACAGTCTGAAACACGATCACATCACCCCTGTCCTCCTCGCACTGGCTCCTGTCCAGTTCAGAATTCATTTTAAAATGTTGATGTGTGTTTTTAATGCACTCAATGGTCTTGCACCTTCCTAATTGTGTGAGATTTTGACCCCTCACCAACCCAGCAGAGCTCTACGATCTGCTGGGCCACATCTGCTGGAGGTTCCCCCAGTCCCGGTGCAAACAGTGGGCTGATCGTTCTTTTGCAGTGGCCGCTCCAAAACTCTGGAACTCTTTGCCCATTGAGTTACGCTCCATCCCCGACCTGCCTCTGTTCAAAGCCAAACTTAAAACCTCCTTATTTAGAAAGACTTTTTACATTTAGTGGCCTGTGACACTTTCTTTATTTTCATGGTCTAATGTGCTTTGTTGACCTGTTTGTATGATGTTTATTGTTTTTTTCTTGTTTTAATGTTGTACAGCACGTTGGTCGGCTTTAGTCGTTGGAAGGTGCTATAGAAATAAAGTTTGACTGATTAATTGATTGACCAAACCCATAAGTGGTGATACGGACGAGGTAAAGTACCGCAGTGATACCAGAGACTGAAATGATCATTTAAACACCAATGAAAACACTTCATATTTACACGTCACAGTGGGCGGAGCCATCTGGGCGTCTGACTCGGAATCCTCGCTCGGTTGACTTTTTCTACCAGTTCCTGTGATGGTGCGTCCCAGGAAAAGAAAAAAAAACAACTTGGAAGGATAATGGAACACAGGGCGAGTACAGACGCCAGCTCCTCGGTTGTTTCTCAGCAGCTGCATTGCCAAGAAACATAAACCAAAAACACAGAAGAGAGTATCGTGTGTGGTGGGTGCGCACCTGCCCGGCCCAGGACCAGATCTGGGTTGAGGGACTTCAAGACGAAGTTGCAGCAGTCGGTGTAGGCGGCGCGGCACAGGCGATACTTCTTGGCGTACCTGCTGTTCGCCGCCTCTGCACAGGTCTCAAACGACGGGATGTTTTTCATTCCTTCCCGACAGCAATTCCTCACCGCGTCAATTTTGTATGTGGCCACTACAGACAGGAGCAGACAGGAGCAGACAGGAGCAGACAGGAGCAGACAGGAGCAGTTAGTTCAGGAGTTTAAACAGGCCTATGTGGTACAGAGTTGGGATGCAACGATACGGTTTCCTCACGATTCGATACGTATCTCGATACAAGGGTTCACGATATTATTTTGATTTCTATGTTTAAAGATGAAAAAAAAAAAAAAAAAAAAGGAGTTCTGGAATTTTACAGGTGGGTAGTGATTACACACGGGCGGGTCAGGACTAAATCAGGACTAAACCTGAACTACACCAGGACTAATCTTGGACTCAAGAGAGCGGGAGAACTTCGATCTTGTGGAGCAGGTGTCCGCAAAGAGCGACTGGGCGATGGCAGAGCCCAACGGACTACAGGGGCGCACCACCGAGCGGTCCTGACAGTGACTCCTGGTTCAGTTCTGGTTTAGTCCTGGTTCAGTCCTGGTTTAGTCCTGGTTCAGTCCTGGTTTAGTCCTGGTTCAGTCCTGGTTTAGTCCTGGTTCAGTCCTGGTTTAGTCCTGGTTTCAGTCCTGGTCTAGTCCTGGTTTAGTCCTGGTTCAGTCCTGGTTTAGTCCTGGTTCAGTCCTGGTTTAGTCCTGGTTTAGTCCTGGTTTAGTGTTGGTTCAGTCCTGGTTTAGTCCTGGTTCAGTCCTGGTTTAGTCCTGGTTCAGTTCTGGTTTAGTCCTGGTTTAGTCCTGGTTCAGTCCTGGTTTAGTCCTGGTTTAGTCCTTACTCAGTCCTGGGTTAGTCCTGGTTCAGTCCTGGTTTAGTCCTGGTTCAGTCCTGGTTCAGTCCTGGTTTAGTCTTGGTTCAGTCCTGGTTCAGTCCTGGTTCAGTCCTGGTTCAGTCCTGGGTCAGTCCTGGTTTAGTCCTGGTTTAGTCCTGGTTCAGTCCTGGTTTAGTCCTGGTTCAGTCCTGGTTTAGTCTTGGTTCAGTCCTGGTTCAGTCCTGGTTCAGTCCTGGTTCAGTCCTGGGTCAGTCCTGGTTCAGTCCTGGGTCAGTCCTGGTTTAGTCCTGTTTAGTCCTGGTTCAGTCCTGGTTTAGTCCTGGTTTCAGTCCTGGGTCAGTCCTGGTTAGTCAGTCTGGTTTAGTCCTGGTTCAGTCCTGGTTTAGTCCTGGTTTAGTCCTGGTTTAGTCCTGGTTTAGTCCTGGTTTAGTCCGTGGCGTGTTTCTTCTGCTCAGTAAATAATCCCTGTGAAGTTTTGACAGTCGAGTCGCGTCTGTGAATTCGTGTTCGTACTGAAGAAATTGAAACCGTTTCATTTCATTTCGTGATTGTTTCTTGAAGTCGTAACTTTTCATTTCATATTCTGATGAATGCTTCAGTTAGAATGTTTTTAATCTGTGTGTGATTTATCACGGGCGGGTAATGGATGGAATGTTAACGGGTCTGGGCGGGTGCGAGTTTAACGTTGATATAATCCCGGGTTAACGGGCGGGGGCGGTGCTGGACTGTGCGGGTGTGGGTCTCCAAAAATGGACCCGTGCAGGCCTCTGCGCTAAAGAGGAGAGTCCTCAACTTTTCCACTCTGGAGGGTGGTTTCAGATTTTTGCGTTTTTAAACATCATCACTGTCTAAACGAAAGGCACTTTCCGTAAAATATTTTGTCATTTTAACCCACGAGCGTTCTCGTGTAAACAAACCTGAGTGTCTCTGGTCTCGTTGTGTTCACACAGACTCCAGCAGCAGCTCCTCACACACTCACCTGCTCTTTTTACACACACTGAACTCTAACATCCTCTTTATGAAAAAAAAACTACACAGAAATGTCTCAACAGAACGTTGTCTGAGTAAAACCTATGAGATAGAGTCTTAGAAAAAGGTCGTGTTTGTCACAAGTCGTGTTGCAGGTGTGTATACGAGCGCATTTGATCAAAGCTGATGTGAAGCCACAACTACGGAAGTCGAGAGGGTCACAACAAACACAAACTCTGCAATAAATACAAATGTGACAACACAAGAAAAAGCCACAACAAACCAAAAAAAGCCACAACGGAAATGACCGCGGGACTCGATTTTAATGCAAACGCCGCAACAAATACAAACGCCACAACACAAACGCCACAACACATTAAAAAGCCACAACACATTAAAAAGCCACAACGGAAGTGACCGCGGGACTCTATTTTCCCTCGGACCGATCAAGTGGCAAGTGAAGAAGAACTACAACGTGAAAAGTAAAGGAACAGAGAAGTTGGAAAGGTAAGTAAAAATAATTTATTGTTTTATCATTATTCATTTCACATTGTTTTTCTTCTTCTTCACTTGCCGCTTGATCGGTCCGTCGGAAAATAGAGTCCCGCGGTCACTTCCGTTGTAGCTTTTTAATGTGTTGTGGCATTTTAATGTGTTGTGGCGTTTGTATTTGTTGCGGCGTGTGCGTTTGGTGTGACCCCTCTCGGCTTCCATACAAAAGTGATTCCAAAGTGTTTAAAAGTGAATCTCTTTGTCATTCCTTGGTCTATCAACATAAAATAAAAAGCGACTGAAAGATCAAACCCTCCTCTGTTAGAATATTTCAGCTGTAAGTCCCTGTGGAGCTGTTTTCTGCTGCATCTGAGGAGGACGTCAAGAGAACTGGACAACCTTTCGGACCAAAATAAATGACAACACAGCGCGTATGGAGGGAATGAACGACTGAAACATGGATTGGTACAGAGGTGAGAGAAGATACAAAATGGAGCAGAGGATTCTTACAGATTTTGTTGACCTGTTCCTCCGATATGGATCGTCTGGGTCGGACCAGGGCCGTGCAGGGTTCACCTGCGGGACACAGATCACATGACGACTCATGAACGCTGTGACTGGACGATGTACAGACGTGGAACTGTCACATGACTCAAACGTCACATGACTCACTCCACACATGTTCCACTTAAACATGATTCTGTAATAAATCCTTAGAGCAGGCATGTCCAAACTATGGCCCGGGAGCCAAATGTGGCCCTCAGACAAATTTTTCTTGGCCCTCAGACTTCCAGGTGAATTAGCCCAAATGACCTTGTATTAATTAAAATTAAATTTTTTACTGCAAGTTTTTTGAAAATCTACCTCGATAAAGCTCATATTTAATATTTAGTGTGTGGTTTTAAAAATCTTAATGTGAATAAAAACTGATGGCTCATTCTAACACGTTAAACATGCACATATTTCAATTATTCACTGTTCTGAGCTCCAGTCTACGGCCCTCGGTCAGTCCTCTGCTTCATCTGTGTTTAGATCTGTGGCCCTTGATGAAAAAAGTTTGGACACCCCTGCCTTAGAGCAAAGATCTACTCAACCTTTTGAGACCATTAACCAGAGAACATGTGAGCAAAGTGAGAGCGCACAAAAACTTTTACTTGAAAATTAAAAAAGCAAGTGTAAAGTGACAATAAACTACAGTGACTGAAGCACAGTCTCCAACCCATTATTACTCACTTCTGATAGAAACTTATTTATTTTATTGACTCAGTGGCCATGTTTACATGATGTTTTTTTTTTATTCTGAATTAATTGTTCTGAATTAAATAGTTCTGAAATAAAATATTTCATTCTGGGGTGGCGTCTGGGGGTGGGGAAGGTTCTGATTGGACAGAGACACCAACGGATTTAAATCTTTGGGAAGAAAACACACTTCAGCTGCTCCCGGCTTTTCTGTCATCTCGGTTTGTAGTTCCTCCACAGACACAAACACCATCCAAACTTTTCCCGCTGTGGGTCTGATGATAATGGCGAAGCAGCAACTGGAGAATTGTCTCAACACACTTTACGTCTGTCAGCTGAGGAGGAGAAGGAGGAAGAAGACAAAGTGAGTGTGAGGCTGCTCCTGCTCAGCCCACTCCCACATCCCGCTGACAAATCCAAGGAGACTTGGAGGAAAGTCCCAAGACAGGACTGGTGGAGCTGGATCGAAGGGCGACACAACGAGCATACGCTGAAGCACCAGCATTATTTTTAACAATAAACGAGAAACATGATCCAGGAAGAAATTCATTCAGCTTTAAAATATGAATAAACCAAACACTTACTTCGGAATTAAGTTTAATTCTGAATAATCATTTTCATTAGGAATTAATGTTTACATTGTCAGAACCATTCATTGTTTTTATGGACAGAATTTCTCGGCGCAGTCAGGGGCTGGAGGGGGTCCGGTTTGAGGACCACAGGATCATCTCTGCTGTTTAGAGATGATGTTGTCCTGTTGTCTTCATCAGACCAGGACCTGCAGCTCTGGGGCAGTTTGACTCGAGTGTGAAGCGTTTGGGATGAAGATCGGCTCCTCCAAATCCGAGGTTGTGGTTCTCGACCGGAAAAAGGCGTCTTGTCATCTCCAGGCGGGTGGAGAGTCTCTGCCTCCAGTGGAGAAGTTCAAGTATCTCGGGATCTTGTTCTCGAGTGAGGGGAGGATGGAGCGTGAGATTGACAGGTGGACAGGGGCCGCGTGGGCAGTGATGCGGTCGCTGTATCGGTCGTTGTGGTGAAGAGGAGCTGAGTCTGGATTTAGTGTCAGTCTCTGTTCCTCCCCTCACCTCTGGTCATGAGCTCTGGGTAATGACCGAATGATACAAGCGACACAAATGAGTTTCCTCCTAAGGGCGTCTGGGCGCTCACTTTGAGATAGAGTGAGGAGCTCAGTCACACAGGAGGAGCTCGGAGTAGAGCCGCTGCTCCTCCACGTGGAGAGGAGCGGCTGAGGGAGACGCCCAGGAGACATCCTGGGCGTCTCCCTCAGGAGGTGTTCATGTCCCACTGGGAGGAGACTCAGGACACTCTGGAGTGACGATGTCCCTGGACTTGCTTAGTCTGCTGGCCCCGCAACTCGGCCTCAGATAAGCCGAAGAAAATGGATGGATGTTTACTTTGTCTTTTTACCGTGGAATTCATTTTTATTCAGAATTAAAACTCTCATGTAAACATGACCTAAGGTTTAAACCCAAAGATGCAGGAAAGTATTTGCCTCAGAGATGTTTCTTTTCTCCAAATCAGTGATATCTGAACTGAAAAATCTGGATCTATGTTTGTGTTTTATGATTCACCAGATGGCGCTTGTCCAGAGTTGGCGTTGGTCATGAAGCTCAGTCCGGCCAGTCTGAAAACATCTGCAGCGTTTTACTTCCCCCCTCCTCCTCCACAGCCCTGATCTGCGTTCTCGAAGTGACGGAGAACCTGACGGAGAACAGGTACAGGGCTTTATACACACACGTACAGGTGAAGCGTCTAACCGTCGCTCAGGTCGCTCTTACTCTGTTCACCGGGTCTTTGAAGTCGGGTCGGAGGCTGTAGACGCCACTGTCCACCGCTGCCATGGCGACGTAGCCCTTGGCGTTGGCCTTCACCTCCATCTGAAGCGTCTGCTGGGGTTTGTAGTGCGTTGCTCGGGTCTTCAGCTCCGTCTGCAAACATCGCACACATGACCACGAGGCCTTCACTCACCCCAGACGCTTCCTCCTCCATAGCCTCTTGAGAATATGAACATGTTTGGTCCAGTTTTATCGTCTTGGTTCAGTTCAAGTGAAGAGATTCTAAAAACTTGATTAGACTACACAATTTACACTTATCATGATTATATTATAACATTTTCTTACACTGTACACTGTTTTACACTCTTTGAGGATTTTGGTGAAGCCTGTAACTTTGCGGTCGCTCTGTAATCAAGGGCCAGAGATATTTAGACATTTTAAACAAGAGTTAGTTCAAACGTATAACTACTGAAACTGTAAACTGTCCTTGCCTTTTGTCCTTATTCCTTTTTAAGGCCCCGCCCACACTAATACGCATTCGAGTTGTTTTGGTTGTGGGTGCAGTGTTCGTTAACACTAATCTGATTGAAAACGGCTCCAGAGACGGAACGATCTGGTGCCTCCAGCTCCACGAATTCATGTTTATCCAGATGTGATGGGGCAGCGTGTGGACACCTGAAAACACTGATACTGATGTAGGTCTGTGCACCGCCAAGTCATTCACCCTCAAAACACTAAGAGGCGAGAATATATGTCCATTCATATAAACGTGTGTCTTTGTGTACGACCTGCACACGTATAATCTCTGAAAAGTTTCACATGAACCAACAACACGACAGAAACACAGAACAGACTCACCATCAGCAGAACACCCCTCTGTCACAGAGAGAACACTCATATTCCACTGAGTCGAGTCCTTTAGTCCAACAGAAGCTGAACCACATCAACGACACAAGGGGCGAGCTGTTTTTATCAGCACTTTATAGTTTATGTAAATGAGTCTTGTGGTTTTAAGTTTTGTTTCTGTAAAACGTAAACAAATGCGCTCAAAGTTGTGTGGATAGGGAAGGGGCACACAAACGATGAGTCTGGATGCAGATCGTTTCCGATACAGTGATTTGTTTCAGTGTAAACGTAGTCTAAATCTCACTCCTACTTCTTGTATATTTTAAGTTTTTGTTTTGAATTCTCTTCTCAAACTGCCACTTGACTGAAAACCAGCCTAAATATTTACCAGAGATATTATGTAGGCAGACAAAGTAATACTTGAAAAACATGTCTTCTGTACTTTAATGCTGTTTTATTACCTATCTTTAGACTTTTATCACAAAGACCAGAAGTGTCCCACTGTAGGTTTATGGAACTTCAGGTTAATGTTTTTCTGTGGCAAAATGTGTGTGTAAATGTGTGTGTCCTGGTTGAGATCCACTCTGGTACCTGCAGTCCGTTGACGCACTCGCCCTTGATGTTGAGCCACACAGCGTCGGCCACGAGCTCTGAGGTCCTCTCTCCGTACGGCATGTAGTAAACCAGCAGCCTGATGGATGGCACCATCTCCGGCGTCACCTGGAAATTCAGCGTGTGCCTGGTCTCCATCATACTTTGGAAGGGCATCCAGCCGTGCTTCACAATTTTACCCTTCGACATGACCTGCACACGGCCAGCAGGGGGAGTAGAGAGAACATATGACATGACATTAGTGCACCCAGTAGAACTCTGGGAAATAAGACAATATTACTATTACAAGGTTAACATATTACAAGGTTAAACTTGAACCGGGCTGCGTTAAAAGCAAAATCTCTTGAAAGAACAGAGCTACTTAAAAAGAGTCCACAGCTATGAGCATCCGCATCGACAATAGAGGCCATCCACTCGGACTCCATGTCCCCGGCCTCCCCCGGAATCTGAAAGCTCTCCCGGAGGTGTGAGTTGAAAGTCCCTCTGACTGAGGCTCTGCCAGACGTTCCCAACAGACCCTGACTACACACTTGGGCTTGTCAGGTCTTTCTGGCTTCCTCCTCCGCCAGTGAACCCAACTCACCACCAGGTGGTGATCAGTTGACAGCTCAGCCCCTCTCTTCACCCGAGTGTCCAAGACACGCGGCCGGAGGTCAGATGACACGACGACAAAGTCAATCATCGACCTCCGGCCGAGGGTGTCCTGGTGCCACGTGCACTTATGGAAACACTTCTGCTCGAACATGGTGTTCATTACGGACAAACTGTGACTAGCACAGAAGTCCAATAACAAAACACCGCTCGGGTTCAGATCAGGGAGGCCGTTCCTCCCAGTCACTCCTTCCAAGTGTCACTGCCGTTGCCCACGTGGGCGTTGAAGTCCCCCAGTAGAACAATGGAGTCTCTAGTCGGTGCACTGTCTAGTCCCTCCCAGGGACTCCAAGAAGGCCAGGTACTCGAGTACTCTCCACTGCTGTTCGGCCCGCAGGCGACACCACGGTGAGAGCCCTATCCCTGACCCGAAGGCGCAGGGACATGACCCTCTCGTTCACCGGGGTGAACTCCAACACATGGCGGCTGAGCTGTGGGGCAATGAGCCCACACCAGCTCGCCGCCGCTCCCCGCGGCCAACGCCAGAGAAATGGAGAGTCCAGCCCCTCTCAAGGAGTTGGGTTCCAGAGCCCAAACTGTGTGTGGAGGTGAGGCCGACTATATCTAGTCAAGTAAACTCAGGCTCCTTGTGAGGCAACATTCTATGTCAACAGAGCCAGTCTCCATGTCCGGAGATCCTTCAACTGTCTCCCAGATCTCTCTGTACCAGCCCCAGATCATTTCACTACTTTTAAGTCATTTTCTGATTGATTTAAGTTTTTATATCTTCAGTTGTGACCAAGCCTTTTTGCAGTGAAAGTAAAATAGTCACGAAAATAAAGTGTGTGTCCAAACCTGACTGGAGGTGTCTCAGGTCGATGCTCACCAGGTAGTTGAGGGACTTGACGGACAGGTAGGGCAGGGCCACGGTGTAGACTGTGATCTGTGTGAACCCCCCCACAGGCACGTCGATGGCCGTGGGCTCGATGTACAGGTACCGGGCGTTTGGAGACTCGTAGGACTGGGCCGTCAGGGACAGAGACGCCTGGCTCTGGTCTGGGAGTGAAGGCTCCGCTGTGACGAACTGCAAACATGTTACATTACAACATTTAGATTTGTTCTGATTATGTCGTAACAAAAAAGATGCACTGGGTAAAAGACATGCAGCTATGTTCACATGTACAGATGACTCCGAGTGCCCAAGTCTTTTACTTATTTAGCATTAGTACTAAATTTTGCAGCTAAAATTGCTTCCCAATGCACAAAAAAGCACAGTGGTAGTTCTCGGTAGCTGTAGTGTACCTCTGCACACGGCCCCGTACCTCTGCACACGACCCCGTACCTCTGCACACGGCCCCGTACCTCTGCACACGACCCCATACCTGTAGGTCGATGGAGTGCGTGGCCATCTGGATGTTGCAGACGAGGAAGGCGATGCCCTCGGAGTGGGTGACGGCCCGGTCTGAGCAGTACATGTCCTCTGGTTCTCTGTTGGGCTTGAGCATCTTTTTCTTCACCAAACGCACGGGCACCCCACTCACCGGCGCCCCCAGCTGGTCCTTCACCAGCACCTGACACACACATGAGCGCAAAGACTCAATCAACCATATTTCCTCTTATACTGGGTTTTAAAAAGCTGCGTCAGATCTGCAGAACTAAACTTACGATTTAAATTTTTTTTGGGGGGGGGTACCTGTATGTTGTAGGGCAGAGTACCCGTTGGGAGTACCTGTATGTTGTAGTACCCGTTGGGAGTACCCGTTGGGAGTACCTGTATGTTGAAGGGCAGAGTACCCGTTGGGAGTACCTGTATGTTGAAGGGCAAAGTACCCATTGGGAGTACCTGTTGGGAGTACCTGTATGTTGTAGGGCAGAGTACCCATTGGGAGTACCTGTATGTTGTAGTACCCGTAGGGAGTACCCGTTGGGAGTATCTGTATGTTGAAGGGCAGAGTACCCGTTGGGAGTACCTGTATGTTGTAGGGCAGAGTACCCATTGGGAGTACCCGTTGAGAGTACCTGTATGTTATAGGCAGAGTATCCGTTGGGAGTACCTGTCGGGAGTACCTGTATGTTATAGGGAAGAGTACCCACTGGGAGTACCTGGATGTTGAAGGGTAGAGTACCCATTGGGAGCACCTGTATGTTGTAGGGCAGAGTTCCCGTTGGGAGTACCTGTATGTTGTAGGGCAGAGTACCCATTGGGAGTACCTGTATATTGTAGGGCAGAGTACACATTGGGAGTACCTGTTGGGAGTACCTGTATGTTGTAGTACCCGTTGGGAGTACCTGTATATTGTAGGGCAGAGTACACATTGGGAGTACCTGTTAGGAGTACCTGTATGTTGTAGTACCCGTTGGGAGTACCTGTATGTTGTAGGGCAGTCCTGGTTTGATGAAGGGGGGGGTGGAGACCAGGCCCAGGGTGTACGGACTCTGGACAAACTTCACTGACCGAAGCTCCGCCTCCTGACTGATACCGCCTGAAACACAAGTACAAGTACAAATACAAGTACAATAAGTACAAGTACAATAAGTACAAGTACAATAAGTACAAGTACAATAAGTACAAGAACAAGTACAAGTAAGAACAAGTACAAGTACAAGTACAAATACAAGAAAGTACGGAGTTTATCGAAGCTTTAAAATCCAAACTCTCCGTTCATCAGCCTTGTTTGATCACGTTCTGTCCTGCTCTTTTTTGCTCCATCAAACAGGCAGGTGCAGGTGCGGGTGCAGGTGCGGGTGCGGGTGCAGGTGCGGGTGCAGGTGCGGGTGCAGGTGCGGGTGCGGGTGCAGGTGCGGGTGCGGGTGCAGGTGCGGGTGCAGGTGCGGGTGCAGGGTGTGGGTGCGGGTGCGGGTGGGTGCGGGTGCGGGTGCGGGTGTGGGTGCGGGTGCAGGTGCTGGTGCATTTGTGGGTGCAAGTGTGGGTGCTGGTGAGGGTGTGGGTGCTGGTGTGGGTGCTGGTGAGGGTGTGGGTGCGTGTGTGGGTGCAGGTGTGGGTGCTGGTCAGGGTGTGGGTGCGTGTGTGGGTGCGGGTGCAGGTGTGGGTGCAGGTGCTGGTGAGGGTGTGGGTGCGTGGGTGCAGGTGCAGGTGCGGGTGCAGGTGCAGGTGCGGGTGCAGGTGCGGGTGCAGGTGCGGGTGCAGGTGCGGGTGCAGGTGCAGGTGTGGTGCAGGTGTGCGGTGTGCGGTGCAGGGGTGTGGGTGCGTGTGTGGGTGCAGGTGTGGGTGCGGGTGCAGGTGTGGGTGCGGGTGCAGGTGTGCAGGTGCGTGGGTGCAGGTGCGGTGCAGGTGCGGGTGCGGGTGCAGGTGCGGGTGCAGGTGCAGGTGCGGGTGCAGGTGTGGGTGCGGGTGCAGGTGTGGGTGCAGGTGTGGGTGCAGGTGCTGGGTGCAGGTGCTGGTGAGGGTGTGGGTGCGGGTGCGGGTGCAGGTGCGGGTGCAGGTGCAGGTGCGGGTGCAGGTGCGGGTGCAGGTGCGGGTGCAGGGCCTCACCTGTCTCCTCCCGCAGGAGCACGGCGATGTACAGGAACTGGTCCTTGAGCTCGGCCAGAGTCCTGTGGGTCTCGTGTATGGAGAAGATCGTCTGTAAATTCACAGAGACCTGCAGGTCCCCCTCCGACGACAACTGTACGACAAAGACACAATTAAACAAGTGTGTGTGTGTGTGTGTGTATAGTGTGTGTGTGAGTGTGTGTGTGTGTCTGTGTTTACAGTGTGTGTGTGTGTATAGTGTGTGTGTGTGTGTTTAAAGTGTGTGTGTGTGTGTTTTTGCGCATCTCTTACTCGGTCTCGTGTCTTGGAGCTTGGTGTGTGTGTGTGTTTGTGTGTATGTGTTTTTGTGTGTGTATGTTGTGTGTGTGTGTGTGTGTGTGTGTGTATGTGTGTGTGTGTGTGTGTCTGTGTGTTGTGTGTGTGTGTGTGTGTGTGTGTGTGTGTCTGTGTGTGTGTGTGTGTGTGTGTGTGTGTCTGTGTGTTGTGTGTGTGTGTGTGTGTTGTGTGTGTGTGTGTGTGTGTCTGTGTGTGTGTGTGTGTGTGTTTGTGTGTGTGTCTGTGTGTGTGTGTGTGTGTGTGTGTGTGTGTGTGTGTGTGTGTGTGTGTGTGTGTGTGTGTGTGTGTGTGTGTGTGTGTGTGTATGTGTGTGTGTGTGTGTGTGTGTGTGTGTTGTGTGTGTGTGTGTGTGTGTGTGTGTGTGTGTGTGTGTGTGTGTGTGTAGTATGTGTGTGTACAGTGTGTGTGTGTGTGTGTGTGTATAATGTGTGTGTGCATGTATGTGTATGTGTGTAGGGGTGTGTGTGTGTGTATGTGTGTGTGTGCATGTGTATGTGTATGTGTGTAGGGGTGTGTGTGTGTGTATGTGTGTGTGTGTCAGATGCCCTCCCGCTACATAGAGATGAAGACAGAGGAAGAGAAGAGGGATAAAGAGGAGATGGAGACAAGGAGAGAACTAAAAAATGACAAGTCCTGATGTGACTGAACCAGGATTAAACCAGGACTGAACCAGGACTGAACCAGGACTAATGTAAAACAGGACACGGCAGAGGCTTATGTCCCGAATCCCTCATGTAATTAGGACAAAAATAGAACATAGGCGCCTCAAAAACTTCACATTTCATTTTTATTATTATCACTGTGTTTTACTCACAGTCTGTTTGTCTTTCAATGATAAATGACTCACATCTAAATCCAAAATACAAACTGAAAATGCCGAAATCTGGAGTCCTTTTCCTCTTTAGACGTCCACAGACTGTAAAGAAATCGCACGGCTCCAGTCAAATGAAGCTCATCGACGCCTACGGTTACAGGGGAGAATACAGAGCTGCATTTTAGGAATCGATTTACAGACAAAACAGCAAAATGAAAAACCCAGGATCACGTAGAGCGGATTAATACGAACATTTTAAGAGCAGAACGATGAGGCAGCAGCAGTTACGGCCGACACACACTACAGGATTTTGAACCATTTTTAAACGTGCGACAGAAAGCGAACGCCACAGACATGAGGAGAATCTTACGAGACTTTAAATCCCCGATCGCAAAGACTGAAGCAGCCGCTGCTTTCACAAACGCTCTGATGTCGGGCCGTTGTCCTGTCTCCTCCCTCTCACCAGGAGGTTGTGGGTTAGACTCCTGATCTCTCTGATCTAAGCCCCTCCCCTTCTGTCCCAGGTGAGATCAACTAGTTTTGTTAATTATAAAAAAACAACATTAAACATTCAACATGTGAAAGGTTCCACAAGAGCAGACCACCTCTCTGTTGCCATGGTTTCCTTCTAACATTAATACAGATGGAAAAGTACATCGTAATCACGGGGAAAATGATTTAGCTCCCCTCTGGGACGATGACATCATCACATTCTAGAATCTAAAATAGTTTTGGAGCCTGAGAAGCTGTCGCCGTAGCAACGTGATGTTCTAATGCCGCCCTGGATCTCCATGGTGATAGAACTCTGCTTGATGACATCATCACCAAAGGACAAGCACAAAGCACTGTTATGAAGAAGATTATAAGTGTAACACAAAACAAACAGTACAGACACAGAATACTGCCACTTCTACTGTGTGTACTGCGTGTACTGTGTGTACTACGACTACTACAATTACTGCGTGTACTGCTACTAGAGCTACTACTGCACGTTTACAATAGAGCTTTTCTCTCTCTCTACTGCATATTTAAACAGAAAAAATGCCCTGGTGTTTTTTTAGAAAATACCGACCTAAGGTCAAGCGTGAATTCTTAGAGGCTGCGAACGAGTACCTGCACGAGATGATCCAAAACTCAGAAAATCTGAACCAGCAACTGCACGAGAGGATCCAAAACTCAGAAAATCTGAACCAGCAACAAAACCAGACGATCCAAAACTCATTAGATCATAACCAGGATCAGCTTAAGACGATCCAAGTCTTAATACAGCTGAACCAGCAACTAAACGAGAGGATCCAAAACTTAAACAGTCAGAACCAGCAACAAAACGAGAGGATCCAAAACTTAGAAAATCAGAACCAGCAACAAAACAAGAGGATCCAAAACTTAAACAATCAGAACCAGGAACTGCTTGAGACGATCCAAAACTTAAACAATCAGAACCAGCAACAATACGAGACGATCCAAAAGGAAAAGTTCTCGGTAACGAACCAGAAGCTACAGGAGGTGACCCAAATGTTTCCGCACATGCTCAACTTACACTTAGAAGAACAGACCAAGAGGATCTGCTTGCAGCTGGAGTCGCTGGAGAAAGTTCAGATGAGGTGTGATGAAGCAGAAGGTGAAGTCTGCCCACACCTACGAGATCTGAAGGAGGAACGTCAACAACATGCTCAGCTGAAAGACTCCCATTCAGAGCTCCTCAAAGCTGTCACCGAGCTCAACCAAGAGAAGCTGAATTTGAAGGAGGAGCTCGAAACGTTGACGACAAGAGTCGGTTCCTCGAAGGAGCGTAGAGAGACAGAGAGACAACGACAGAGGAACACAGAACTGTGGGAGGAGATGCAGATTGTCTTTGATGAACATGAAAAGACCGAACAGGAGAAAACACGTCCGCAAGAGCAACTCCAGCAGATGTGTGTAGAGCTGCAGAAAGCCCACGCCGAGCGAGAGAGCTCCACGAAGACGTTAGCCGAGGAGCAGACACACATGACTGAAGGACAAATACGAACTCCACGACGAAGAAGACGAGGACAAGAGCGCGACAGGAGAGG